GTCCCCCCAGGAGACATATGGGTAGCATACAGTCACCTCAGTGAGCCTCCACTCCTGAACCCTGCAGTTAAGGTCAAAAAACACCCATCTCTGGTGTTTTATGGAACCAGACCATTGCTCATATGCAGAGAGGCTGAGAGCTGGGACTGTTCAGCCTGGAGAAGACAAGGCTCGGGGGGGAACTTATCTATGTATATAAATACCTTATGGGAGGCAACAGAGAAGCCAGCCTCTTCTGAGTAGTGTCCACTGACAGGACAAGAGGCACAATTTAAAAAAAAAAATAAAAATAAAAGAGAGAGAGAAAAACCTCTCTGAAAACAAGAAGACACTCATTTGTTTTGAGGGTGACCAAGCACTGAGGGAGCTTACCCAAAGAAGTTGTGATGTTGTCATCCCTGGTGATATTCAAAACCTGACTGGGTACAGTCCTGGGCAACTGGCTTGGGGTGAGCTGTTTGGGCAGGGGAGTTGGACCAGATGACCTCCAGAAGTCTCTTCCAGCTTCAACCAGTCTGTGGTTCTGTGTATGGTACCTGTCACAGATCCCCACTCGCCCCCCAAGTTGCCTTAGATTAGCGCAGCCCACAGCTTGTTTTTTCTTATTTTATTTATAATATAAAAAATGTTCAAGTGTTAAACAGTCAAGAGTTCTGACATTCAGACAATCCAGAGCAAACTTTGACAATCATCTTATGACAAATTAGCAGAATTTTCTATCTGACCCCATCATGGGTGAGGAATAGAGGGTTTAGTTACTTTATTGCTAAAAGTTAAATGAAATACACTGTCAATTGTTGTATTATCTTCTCAGTCACAGCTTCACCATGCATCCAATCTACAGTATCTGAAATGCAAAGGACATGCAGAAGTAAAAATATAAAAAGAAAAAAGTCAGGCTACAATGTAAACAGGTTTGCTGCAGAGAACTGAGGAGAGAGGGGCACTTCCACGGGGGATGCTCTGCTGCCTGGACACGCAGGACTGTCTCTTTGCGCCACAGAGCCAATGGCCAGAGCTGCTCCAAGTTGGAAAACGCGACGTCCACCATCGATGGCAAGACATGAAGGTAACAACTGTTTCTATAATATACGACATGGCAGTACAGAAGAACCTGCTTTCTGCTCTGCCCCACACAGAGCTGACCAGTGGGGCTGAAACTGCTCAGGTTCCTGCCAAGCCCCAGGGCAGCATGGCTGGCAGCTGCTTGGCATGGTGTCCAGGGTGAGCCATGGCTGTGCTGTGCCATAAGGCCACCCTTGGGGTGTCCTCCTGGCACAGCCTGAACCGTGCCCGAGCACGGCACGTGAGACACCACAGCCCCGGCAGCCCTACGGCACCACTGCATGTGGCACCATGACCAAAGCCGCACCACAGCCACACTGCTCTGTCAAGGGGATGCCGCGGCCAGCACGGCACCGGTGTGGCAATGCAGCCACGGGGCACCGCAGGCAGATGGAGACTGCCCTGTTGGGACCACCACACAGTGCCGTCTGACTGCCAGGGCTGGCTCCAATCAACTGGATTCAACCGTACATAATGAGGGACTGCTTCACCACGTTCACATGGGTGTCTGCCTCGTCCATCTACAGACCTGTGCCAACCCAACTTCAGACCCACAGGTGAAATGGCCAAAGGTCGAGAGCTAGATTGTAAGGGCTGCTGCTGCTATGTGATTTCATTTTCTCTTCCTACCTGTGTGGCAAAAGAAACGTTATTTCTGCAATTCAATATGGTGCTGTTTGGTTTCTTTTTCTCCTGATTTAAGAGAAAATACAAATATTTTACAGGGCAAGACAGATCCCCGTTCGACATGACAATGGAAATGCTCCCACCCATGTCCTTGATGTATGTTTAAACGATACCATAAAGAATAAGATCATTAATAGCAGGGTATGGGGCAAAGAGGTGAGGCTGTTTTCTTCCAGTGGAAGAGCACCCTTGTGATAGGTTGTCTCCCAAACAAAAAACTATGATCTTAAAAATGCTACTGAAACAGAATCCTCAGCATGAATCCCAGCACTAGCATACGGCAAAAGGCACCACGATAGTTTTGTTGTTTTCTATTTTTAAGTAGTCAAAAATTGGCCCACTTCTTTTTTTAACTTTATTGTTTGTTTTCTTTTCTTTTTTTTTTTTTTTTTTACTTTTTTTTTTTTTCTTGGAAGCTGTAAATCAAGACATTACATATAAATAGAGTTTCCCTATAAAAAAGTCATTGTTGTTAGCTATTATAAGACAACTTTGCTAAAATGAAAATAAAACATTTTATTTGTTATATTTTTTTCCTCTTTTATATAAAATAAAAATATTTATTTTTTGTTTTGTTTTGTCTCGTCTCATCTCCCTCCTCACCCTCCTCCATGCGGGTTTTACATCTGCGGTCGCGGGAGTCTGGGAGGCGCCTAGAGCGGGTCTGGGTCGGGTTTGGGCGTCGTGTGCACCAGGCTGCTGTGCCCGCTCTCCCCATGGGTGCTGTGCCTGCTGCAGGGGGGGTGAGACGGGCTGTCCACTTACTCTGTGAGCACCGCCTCATTGTTCTGAGTGCTTAGGAACGGCGTGCTCTCGGCCACCAGCTCCTCGTCAGACTCGCTGTAAGAGGCGCTGCTCAAGGAGAAGGAGTCCCGAACAGCTCTGGCTCTGTGAGGGATGTGCCCGTTCAGTTTGGATTTTTTCCACCGCCTGTTGCTGCCGGCTGTTTTCTTTGGCTGCTCTAGTGCTGTGACGTACTCCTGCGTCGTCTCGTACTCGTCGTCCTCCGTGATGCGGAAGGGGCTGGAGGGCAGGCTCCCCATGCTGTCATTTAGGTAGGTCTTCCTTTGGTAGTAGCTGTCATACCTCTGCGTGTCCTGGAAGGCGAGCTGGTACCGCCGCAGGAGGGGCTGCTGTTCCTCCACGCGGAAGCTGATGGGGGCTGCTGGCGGCAGGGACACGGCGTGTGCTGAGTTCGGGGAGGTGATCTCAAAGGTGGGCACCTGTGTGGTCATCGAATAATGGAAGTCAACAGGCGACAGGCGAGCTGGTGTGGTCAAGGCCGACACGTACCTGAAAAAAGCAACACCTCCATTTGGAGACAGAACAACCCCCAAAACCTCCATCTGCTCCTGTGCTCTGCTGAACGGGGACCCATGAGGCCAACAGTGCACCCAGTCCCTGAGCTCAGCATCTCCTGGGGAACCAGGTAGAGGGACATTGTACCACTGGGCGACAGAAGGATGAGCTGCTTGCTTCGGTGGATGCTTGGGCACCATGCACTGTGCATCCCAGCACTGCTTCTCCCAAAGGACTCAATGTGCAATTCCCACTCCACATCACTGCAAACCTAGCAGCATCCCCCAGGAGGCTCCGTCAAGAATTCCCTGCATCTCATCTGCCAGCCAGCTGCTTTCTGTTCCCTCTGGAACTTTGAGGTGTGTCTCCCAGGAAGGTCCCTTGAAATGCCCTCCCCCTGCCCAGGTCACAGATGAGGAAAGCCTAGGCACCTTTTCCTGTAACTTAGGAAAAATCTTGTGTCTCAAAAAGGCATCTACTGCTTTCATCTATTTTAGTGACAACATCAGCATGGCAACCCAGATCTGGTCAAGCCCCTCTCCACACAATCCTTCCTTCCCAGCATCACCTCTTCCTAAGGAGCAGATTTCATTTCCTCTCGGTAGTGACAATTGATGTCTTTGCTCACGTCAGGCTGCCCAGGCTTCCTGACTCAGCCAGTGCTGTTTTATCTGAGTATCTCCTGAAGTATGAGACATCTCTATGAGCTAGGTCAGTCTGCCTGAATGGACCAGGGACAGGAATGAGATAGCAGGAGGTGCTGCCTTTCTCCTCTGCCCCATGGACACGTCCTGCTGCCTAGAAGGGTAACTGCCCAAAAGTGTCCACATGGCCACCCAGAGATGCCCATGGCTAACCACAAAGGGCTGGAGCAAGGGTGGAGGTGTATTTCTACACCGTGGGGAAACAGACTTGGGAAGAGGATGACTGCTGCTGCCTCTCACTGACTGATGGTGCCTCAGCTCTGCAGTTGTGTTCCCCAGAAGGCTGGGTCATACACAGTCCTGTCCCATGGCTGTGCCCACACACAGAACCCTTGTTCACCAGCCATTCAAGACTATGCTGAGGACATATCTTTTCCCCACATACCTGAGGACCATACCCTGCTTGAGCTGCCAGCCCACCAAGCTGCCCAGGGTTACTTTCAGCCACTTTTTCTTCACCAGTTGTTGACTGCAGCCAGGCTTTTTCTGCTCCTCCCATCCCTGTGCTCCAAACCTACATCGCCACCAAACGAGCAGGGTGCAGTGCTTGCTGCTGCCCCTATCAGAGTGGCCTCCTGAGGTAGTGGCTTCCTCTGGTGAGACTAGAGATGGAGTTTCTCCAGTGCTACCACAGGAATACTGTTCTAGGGCTGGGCAGAGGCAAACAATTTATGTGCAGCACAGAAGGCATGGCTTGCCTCTGATGTGCTAGGATGGCACCAAAGAGTGGGGTCTGACCTCTCGCTGTGCGGTGAGTCCCGCAGAGAATCCACTGAGTCACGATACTGAGTCATGGGCCTCCGTGAGTCCTCGATGCAGAAGGCAGCCCCGCGGCGAGCCCGTGCCTCCATGCATGCAGGGCTGTTGCATTTACTGGTTCCCACTGAGGACAGCATTATCCCAGACTGGGAATCTGAAGTCAGACTCTCTGTTCGCTCCAAGCTCCAGGTGTGGCTTTCATGTCTGTGGACCAAACCCCATGTGGACAGTGAGCAAGGAATCCCCGGCAAGATCTTCTCCAAAAAGCTGCATGCAGGTACAGTTCTTTTGCTCCTCTGGGGTCGTCTTTCTCTTTCTCACTGGGATACATCTGGCCAGGGATGCCCAACTTCCCAACCCTACCTTTCTTTGTTACTTCTTGAAAATATGAAAAAGAAAGGCACACCAGTTCATACCAGGTATTTTTTACACACTACTTCCTGCTGGACAAGGACAGGATGGGACAGCCTCTGGAGGGAGGACAGAGCAATTCTGCTTTGTGCTTGAAAAGTGTTCTGGGTGTGGAGCAATGCACTGGCTGTGCCAAGACAGGTCTGCAAAGGATCTTCAAATGTGCAGCCTGCCTAGGCAAGTGACAGCTCCTACCAGAAAGGAGCAAGAAAAAAAGCACTCAAAATTACTCTGTCATCAGCAGAGAAGAGCATACCAAAGGTATATCTAGATGTTCAGCTTTCACTAGTTTATAAAAGATTTTGGCAGCAAGGCAATTTAAAGGTCCTAGACAAAAACTGTCATATGTTGGGTAGGCCTTGGTCAGCACTTGGAGCTCCACATGTCCTAGTCTTGTGTCCTGGTTTGCAGTAGAATAGAACTGAGCTGATCAATGATTTTAACTTTTCAGCTAAAGCTCTTCTAATTAACTGCACTGTCTGACATTAGCAGCGTGTTTTCACAGGCTGTCTGCTTTTAGTAGTGGTAACACTCCATGTTTAGAGTTACTGCCAGGATTGGTGTGCAGACCAAGGTCACTGCTAAGCTTGTATCCCACACGGAGGGGGCCAGCAAGTAAAGTTCCACCTGCAGGGAGGAGTGGACAAGAGAAGTGACCACAAGATTCACCAATGGTGTATTCCATCCCATATCCCTCATATTCAGTATAAAAGCTGAGGGATCACAAGGGGCAAGCCTTTCAATCACCCTTCAATCTACCTTCTACCTTCTTCATCACTTCTGCTGCTCCTGCAGTGGCCGGTATCTGAGGAGGACTCTGTCCATTCTGCCTTTGATCCTGAGTTCCAGCATCCAGCTCTTGTACCCAGTCACTGTCTGGCTGAGTCCAGGCTGGGGCTTTCCCCCGGGGGCTGCTCCCCAGCCGGGGGTGACAGTGACATGTTGCCATCAGGGGGGAGCTGGGTTTGATACTGGCTTTATAGATATATTTGTACATATTCTGTTATCATTATTACTATTCTTATTAGTGGTAGAATTAAAGCTGTTTAACTTTTCTATCAATAAGTCTCTCTCCCTTATTCCTTTTCTCTTTCCCTTTGAGGCAGGGGTGACGGGGGGTTCTGTTACTAGTCTGGGGGCTGTCCTGACTGCAAGCCACGACAGATTTATTGGTACCCTGACCCCAAACCACGACAGATTTATTGGCGCCCTGACTCCGAACCACGACAGATTTGTTGGCGCCTAACATGGGGCACGAGCGGAGCTCTGATAAACTGCCTGAAGAGTTTAAATTCTGGTACACTCTGTTGAGAGAATATCAACTTTTTTTTTTCTTTTCACCAATCCCTGGCAGTAACTCTAAGCATGGAGTGTTATCCTTGCTAAAAGCAGACAGTCTGCAAAAACACGCTGCTAACTTCAGACAGTGCAGTTAATTAGAAGAGCTTGAGCTGAAAAGTTAAAATCATTGAACAGAATCAGCTCTGTTCTACCTCAAACCAGGATATCTCGGTGCAAAGAATATATCCCACAAAGACTCACCAGGGGTGCGTGTGGCCATCCTCACACCAGGGGCCCACTTGCACCATGGCTACCAGAGTGGCCCCTCTCTATAGCAGAAATATGTTAAATGTATTAGATATTCATTAATATATTGGAGCAACAACCCTGAACTTACAATCTGCATCAGACAGAGCTGTGCTGGCAGAGGATTTAGGTGGGGGGTTGCAGAGGAAAGCAAGCATCACTAAGACTTCCCAAGAACTTGTTAATTATTGATGGCTCCAAGCACATGCTCGGCTGCAACCACCACACTCATTTATAACTTCAAACAGCGTCCTCATTAGAGGCACTGATCAAGTGAAATGGAGCCTGATTACGCCAGTAGTTTGCCTCTGGCATGACTTCAAGAAACACATGCTTGCTGCACTTGACTCAGGAAGAGTAGGCGGCAGGTAGCCAGGACTGGAGGCTATGCAAGGTAGGTGCCTCCCTACAGCTGTCCTGTGTTAATGCTGCCCTTCAGACACACCTTTGCATCTTCAGAAGGTGCCCAGAGTTGGCCCTGGGGTGACAGGACTTTGAAGTGAGCATGGAAGTCCAGCAAGGTGTAGCTCTGCAGGCACAGGAGCCTCTGGATGCCTGCCTCAAGCCTGCACACACCTTGCCAGGGCTGGGCTGCAGTGTACGAATTAAAAAAAAAATAAAAATGGAAAAAGCACTGTCTGTCTCACCAGGGGTAGGATTCCCCTGGACAAAGGCAGTTGTTTCCAGCCCAGAAAGGCATTCTTGGCTCCCTCTCTACTTTTGGAGGTCTAGCCAGAGGAGTCTGGGGAGGAATTCACCTGAAAACCTAAGTTCAATATCTGAAGCTGGTCTGACGCACTATACACTGAGGGTACTCGCTCATCCCTGATGAATGGTTGAACCTTGAAGAAACCTGCTAGGAGCCATCTTTGAGTTTTAGCTGAAAGGATTAATTGCTTCCTGGGCAAATAGAGACAAACACATTGGACTAATTAAATAAATAAGCCAGGACAACTTTCATTTTATAACGTCAATGCAATGTAATCTATATGTCATTGACAGGCTGCAGATATGCCCCCCCTGCACTTCTTCAAAGGCAAGTGCGCTCCTAGAGAAACACCATCATTTACTGGAAGAAGTGTCTATGTTAGAGGAGGAACCTGAACATCCAAACTCAAAACAGCACAGGACTTTCTCTAGTGCATCTGAAGGACTTTTCTGGATATCACAAAAAAAGGGAATTCCCATCTGCTATTTAAATGCTTTCAAAAACATGAGAACATCTCCTTCCAAGTCATGCTGTTCTTCCCTCTGATGGCTATTTTGGAATGTAAAAAAAAAAATAAACTATGCTTCGTCTTCTGTGGCAAGAATTATTGGTACTTGCCTGCTAGCCTCAGTTTTCCTGAGAGCTTCAGAAAGACTTCCAATGAAAGAGGTGTCATCATCTCAGAGGCTGAGATTCTAATGCAACTTTCTGGACTGTGATAAATTGCACAGGAGTGGGGTTTTTTTGTGTACTTTGACTTCTACAAGGCAAATACATTCTAAATGTATCAAGTATGAAATGAATAACATGTGTGCGCTTTAATGAATTATTGCAAGTGTCCAGTGTGGCTGCAAACACAACTTGCAATACATTTCCTAGATGCATTCTCCTGTTTGTGTCTGTGCAAAGCATGAAAGCACAACTTAATTTCCTCCTAGCGACCCACAGTGCTGACATGGTCTCTATGCCAGTGTAGTGCCAAACATCAAGTGAAAACAGAAAGGAAGGTGAAAGGAAAACTTTTTACTGGCTTTGAATCCCACAGCATCCTAAGGCAGAAAGCAGGAGAAAGTTCAAGGGAAAATGTTATACATCACCTCTGACTGGACGTTGGAGTGGCTGTGGAGCAGTGATGAGACGGGGAGCAGGAGTGACTTCCCGAAAAGGTTGTCTCTGTTTCCCTTCGGATCACATGCTCGGTGGCAGAAACATTCTTAGAAATATACTGTAAAATATGAAGAATCACACAGATCAGCCACCAGCTTGCCAGTGCTGTGGCATGGAGATTTCAGAAGGGTCTGAAGAATCAAGGGGTTCCCCAGAGGACAGTGGTACCACAGGTAGCTACTGAGCAGAAAAACATCCCTGCTCACAGGAGGTTATACACTTGACAGAGTACCAGCAAAAAGACAACCACATGAAATCTGCAAAAGACATGAGTCCTACAGAAACAAGTGTAATCCAAATATTTATGCTGAGATATTCCTTCAGCTAACTGCTTTTCACAAGGTCACTAAGTTCTCTGAGGGAGTCAGTACTTTAGGGTCAGAGGGCTGTGGTTCTTAGAAATTGTCTTTCCCTCTTCCTTCATGGCTGAGACTCAACCTAGCTAAATTTTACCATCCACAGGGTGACCCAGTAGAGCCTGCAAGTGATTCATTGCACTCATTTCCATCAGTACTTCTTTTCTTTTGGGTCTGCCTTCCCCTTCCCTTCTTCTGACCCCTTTCAGTGTCTTGGTCCAGCAAGGCACTTAAGCACGTTGGCAGTCCTGTTGAGCTCACAGAGTTTGATGGGATTCTCCTGTGATCAAAGTCACGAGGGTGGCTGAACTGCCCTTCTGGATCCAATCCTAAATTCTGAGAAGTTGTCATTGGCATGATACCGGCACATCACCAGGACATCCCACTTTGCCCAGGATGTAACTCTTGGTAAGACCAGGTGGGATAGTGCAGTTCTGACCAGAGATCACCATGACATGCTTCAGCATGACATGGTCCCCACAGCAGTTTCTGCTACTGCCACGTTGATCACATTGGTTGTGCTTCAAAGTGAGGCTTGACAGAGTAGCTTAATAAACAGGAAACATCGGGAACATCTCTCTCAGAGGAAAATAGGATCACGCTTGCTTCACCAAAACAAACCTGTCCCAAATGCCCTAATCTCATCCTGTGCTTCAAAGTAAAATCACATCTTCCTTCAGATGTTGATTTTGGTGATGTTTCTATGGAGAACCTTATCTTTTTGTTGAAGTTTGTTAGTGTTTTGCTCTTCATGCATATGTACACAAGTGTGTAAGCGCACACAGCCATGTCAAACCCCCAGCAGAAAACAGGCACTCTGTAACATGCAGGGAGGTGGAGACAAAAGGTCTTACATCAGCCATTTGGATTTCCTCAGGATCCAAACGTGGATGGCTTGGCCCATTTGCAAGGCTCCTGTTCTGATGGGCCGGGCACATGTTCTGCCGTAAATGATTATGCATTTGCTTTCTTTGTTTCCTTTAAAACAGAAAGGAAAAATCTGTTAGGAAGACTTCTCTCATGGGGCTCTCTCCCCACAGAGACACCTGGGGGATGCAGATGATAGACAAGGCAAGTCTTCGACACACTTGATGTTTCAGTGATACTTGTGGAAAGGTTCAAGGTCCTCTTTTGCAAGAAAAGACCCAACACAATGCGGTGGAGCCAGGGGCATCATGGTGCTGGAAGTAGAGGTGAAAAGCAGGGAGAATGAAAAGGGGAAGCAGGTCCTGGCTTGGCCTTGGTGCCAAGGAACTTGACCTGTCCTGCGTTAAGCACAAAGTCTACCTGTGCCTCTGGGAGGGCATCCACTCCACAAGACTGCCCACATCCCAGGGGCACCCAGAACTGAGGTGAGATGCAGGCTAAGCAGGGAAAAAAGTGCCATCCAGGCAGGGAAGCTTGTCCATAAAACAGATATCCAAACCTTTTGTTCCATCAAGACTGCTCTGAAAGTCCTTGAAATACAGATAGCTGAGCCCAGAGCTCCTGCACCACAGCCCAGAGTCAGGAGATGAGCTGCTTTTTAGGGGACAGCTGTTCCCAGTAACAGCATCACCTGACTGGGCAAAATGATGCTGATTTGAGGGGTAACCAAATGGTCCAAGGAAAATATCCTGCTTAGCCACAGCCTGGTAGATGGCTTCACTGGCTTCCTTCATGAGACCTTCCTGGGAATGCCACAGCATAATATCTCCTTAAAATAATATCTGGGCAAAAAGCATGAAAGCATGAAGCATAAACATGACCACTCAGTAACCTCTGGCCAGTTATTGTCTGTTACCATCCATACTCACTTGGTCTTACAGTAAGCTACCACACAGACGATTCCCACCACAAGCAAGGCAACACAGATTCCTGTAATGGTTAAAACTCTCTTCTGGTAGAGCTCTTCTGCTTCTGCAAATGGAGAGAAAGAAACGAGTTACAAATGGGCTCCAGCACCAGGGATGCATCTGGCTGCACAGGAACCAGCACTGCATGTGGGTAAGATGGAGAAGAGGGCTTGGTCAGACCTCCTACCAATCCACTGCCTATCTCTACTAGCTGCCCCAAACCTGAGACCAGCTGGCCCAACCTTACTGAACCCTCAAACGACCTTCACTCCTTTTGTCTCTCTCTGCACGTTTTCTCTCTCTCACTTAACAGTTCGCCCCTTCTGTACTCAAAGACACTTCCTACTTTCTCTTCCCACAGCATAACTCCATGACTAATCTCAAAAAGCCCCACAACTCTCCTCTCCCTTCCAGCAGACCCCCCCTTCTCGGTAACTGAGTAGCCTACCAAGGAAGTCCCCAAGCATCCCCCACTCACCACGTACATGCACGCCCTGTGATGCTGTCATCACAGGCTCTCTGCTTTTTCCTTGCAGCGGCTGCATGCCCTGGAGCTCAGTGGTGTGCTAGAAACCACCAAGCAATAGGCCCCAAAGCATGTAGGTGCTGAAAGGGACATCCTAAAACACTCAAAAAGCAGAATGAGGATGGGAAAGTGATAGTGCATTATACAAAGAAAAGGGAGTGGAGTAATTAAAATACAGTAATCAATTACCATTATGAAGTTTTAATGAAACCCTAGGAAGCAATTAATTCCGTTGCATCAGGTAACTCAGATGCACACACGAAATTCAAGCAGCGTGCTGCTACTTCTCTCAAATATCACTATTTGTCATGGACCACCTTTCAAACCAGAAAAGTCGGTCACTTGCATCAAAACCCAGACCACGCTGGAAGTGAGGTGATTCATTCCCATCAATCAAAGCTCCAAGGAAACGTGAGGATGTCACTTGCAGTGTAACAGAACTACAACTAGGCAGGAACTGCACAGTGAGGACACATCTTCCTGTGTGGCTACACCAGAGCAGATGCTCTTCTCGCCAACATCCAGCCACCTCCACTGAGATTGGCAGAGGCAATATGGTTCTCCAGCTAGATGACTGAGAGAAGCGTTGAGTGTACAGCTGCCATGAGGATTTTAGTTCAGCGTCTATGAATGGTGTCCTCTCACCCCCATACTACGTCTTAAAGTTACTGAGGTTTGTGCCTTCTTTAATATTCATTGAAACATTTTTCCATATAGAGTAGGCAATAAAACTCATGTCATGGTTGCTGTGCTCAGCATGGTTCACCATGCCACACTAAATTCCTTGAACAGACTGTGTAATATCCCCAGTGCTACCAAACAATCAAATACAAAATGAGAAAAGAAATAGGTCTTGTCCCAGAAACCCCTGGGACTAAACTTTAGCAAAAAAAGCAAGGAGGAAGGAAAGAAACATTCCAGATAATGGGATATTTAGACTATTTTCAGCTTGCCATTTTAAGAAGGAAAAAGCATTTTGGGAAGAAAACCAAAAATGTTAGGGAAAATGTTGACTTCTTTATAGCTCTCAAAAGAATGAGAAAGATTTGTTAAACAAGGCCTAAGAATGAGAGCCCTGGCATGAAGATGCAAAATACAACCAGCAGAGCCTGCTTCATGCCTGTGCAGCAAACCTGCAGTTCAAAGAAACAGATTTCCATCCATTTTGTTTGTGCACTGACTTTTGGCTTCATAAAGTGTTCAGGGTGCTGGTGGAGTTGCAATGTCCTACAGTCACTAGAGAGGTGGGCAGCTGAGACTCTCCTAAACTCCAGCTCCGTCGTGGTGTGGACCAGGATCCAGGCCATGGATCTCACCTGGGCTCAAAGTTACTGCTCCACCAGCAGTATTACCAGCTGGTTGCACACTTCTCAGAGGAAGAGCCTGTATGGCCTGAGATCTGCTCATAGACAGGGCCCGGGTGCTGCCCGACCTTGTACTCCTTGTGTTTTGCTACAAGGAACCAGGTGGAGCTCGCAAGGGGAAAGAATCACTCTGGGGTGAAACATCTCCCTCGGTGATGCCCTTTCCTTCCACAGATGCCCTATTCCAGGCATCAGCAAGCACGGCAGACAAGTTTTCTTGCTCTTGCATACCTTTGGGACCTGGATTCCAGTGTACAGCTCTTTTCTTCAGGTGGGAGTTTCAGAGAATTTATCAGAATGAGAAGAACCAGCTCGGGTCATGTCCTGGTTATGGATGGCACCAGGCAAGAATTTTGCTACTACCCAGCAAAAAAAATATTTTTAGCAAAAAAAAAAAAAACCAAAAAGGCTGGGCAGTTGGTCTGTCTCCACCATGGACCCAACCATTAAGAAAATATTTTCAAAGATTCTTCACTAGCTACGTTTTTTACTACAAATTTTTTTTTTGGTCATGCTTAAATCATTCCCTTTCAACCATGAAGCAGAGAGAAAGAACACAGCCATCAAATTGGGGTTTGGTTTGGTGTTTTCTACCCATTACCCACATGACCATTTTTTTTCATCCAAGGCTCAAATCACAGCCTCTGTTTTGGTAATCCTGTCTAGCATGGGACCCTGACTCTGGCATGTCTGACTTTCCTGAACCTTCACCTGAATTGCATGGGGAATGTTTCAATTTCATCAAAAATTCATTTAATTTTATCAGAAATGCAGGTTTAGCTTCTGCGTCAAGCTGACAGCTCTGCTATGTGAAGCAGTGAAGTGTGAGGCTGTGCGTCTCTGCTGCAAAACTAAATATTAAAAGGCCCACTGATAGTAATTTAGCTTGGCTCCTAACATTTCATTACAGATGATGCTAAATAATGTAGTATCTTCATGTTGCACAAAACCATCTCAACAGTGACAGAAAGAAAATATGAGAATGCACACTACAATTTTGTATTTGAGAAGGTTAAGATCCTTCAGCAAGACTTGTCCGCTTGTGTCTCTATGCTCTACAAACACCACATCTTCATCAGCAGCATCGTCACTCTACAGCAGCAAACACTATGAACAAACCATGTGGTGCCACATAATGCCGACAGAATCACAGTCCAGCCATGGGTGTCACAGCAACGCATGAAAGTGAAAGACGAATGACAGAGACGACTGCAGACTGGGAACAGGATGTGTGCGGTTCTGTGACGACATTGAGAATGGATGAGGAAAAGGACAAAAGGTCAACAAAAAAGGGATGTCAAAAATCCTCAATTTTAAAGTTTAAGTGTATTAGCATTAGCAGCACCACTTTCTCTGAAACACCTGACCACAAAATGCACACATTTTCTGCCGCAGGGAAGAACTGCTGGGGGATTCACCCCAGCCTTGGTGGTTCAGGAATGCAAAAACCAAAGGAAACAACTTTCTCCAGCTTCAGCTAGTGCATGTCCCTCCATCTCAGGGACTCGAGAAGACAATTTAGGTTCCAGAAGTGAAAGGCAGATGTCCCCATACCTGTAGCAAAGGGAATTGAAGCACCTTTATATGAAGATCTGCTCTGCCTGATATTGCTGGGTTAATGCTTTTCAGTGAAGTGCTAAAGACAAATCTCTCTGCTCTCACCTGACCAAGCCCTCCCTGCGGTTGACCTGTACGCTCAAGGAAAACCTAGCACTAAGGATTTGATTTCCCAGGTGCTTACTCAAGAGATACTTGATATATTTCTAAAAGCAGACTGAGGAGAAATGGAGAAAAATAATATGGTTATGAGCAACTGGGCAGGATCAGGTAATTGCCCAAAGAGGGTATTTTAAAAAGCATTTAAGTTTTGCAATAATTTTCCAAACTTCAGCTTGTCACCATGATGTTCAACATTATACCCTCCACACTCAAGGGAGGCTATGGGCTTTCCCTGGGCTCACTGATTTCTAGCCTAACTTGTCTCATTCTTGGAACCATTTCTTCCTGGTCAAGAGCTGAAATAAGCCACTGACCTTTGGGAGGAACAGCAAAACTCCTTTTGACCCTTCATAGGATCCAGCAGAGGTTAGTGTATGTAGGATGGCAATTTCTATAAAATCCCTGATCTGCCTAAAACTTGCCTGCACTTTCATGGAATGCCTGCCCGTTCCCAAGCTGTGCCTGCTGGCAACCTTTTGGATGGACACAAACTCCAGCTTTTCAGTTAAATACACAAAAGCATGTTGAGTGAGGAGACGTATGGCAATTGGAACATCCCAGTCACGCCACACACACCAGGCTGCTGCTTGGAACAAAGAAAAAAGTGCTGCTAAAAATACACATCCATTTTTACAGTTTACGTTTAGATTTTGTGTTTTCCTTTTTTTATTTTTTATTTTTTTTTTAATCCAAACTTCTATCTTGGTGCCAGGGAGGAGAACAGAACAGCTGATTTTTTAATCATCCCATTAAAGCCATAAATATAATGTGGGCAGCTCTTAATGGCTTCTGATTAATAAATGAATGGTTGTTCCATACCCTTTAATTCAAATCCAAGATGCTCTGCCATTGCAGAAAGAAGACAAGGAAGAGAAAGAGAAAAAGAAAAACAGGTCTGTCAGAGATCTCTAATATACAAACACACACACTGTGCAGTTACAGCAGGTTAGCTTTTCTGTAGGCTCAGCAGCAGTTACACAGAAGACAGTGTATGCTTCAGAGCATTTCAAATTCCCACCAGAGCTTTTATCTTACATAAAGAAAAACCCAAACAAATTGCAGTGAAAGTTAATTATGAATTCCTTTAGTTAATTATGAATTCTTTTGAGATGAGCCATGTTTGTTAGTACCTGGTATGGAATTCACAGTTTAGGCAGAAAAAAAAAATATCAAATTAAAAAAAAGAAAAAAGAAAAGGTACACTTGTTCTGAAACAACTCCTGACAGGTCAAAACACATAGCGACTACACAAACCTAGAAAAAGCCATTCATTCACTTTCTACAGGCAAAATATGCCCTGCATGGTGTCATATGCCCCTCTCTGCCCAGGAGCCTGTGCACCAAAGAAGAGCACTGGGCAATGTGGGCATGGGCGCAGAGCCCTGAGACCCACCAGCAGGATTCTGCTGCCCACGACCTCAGGTCTGGTCTCAGATGCACAGCATCTTCTGGCAGCGTTGCCTGTAAATTACCTGACGGTGTGGCAGTTGTGTGAGCACTGTTCTTGGCAGTACAGGTCTGCAGTTGAACCACTGATGCTGCAAGTGATTAGTTGCCCAGGCGAGGCAATGAATCCCTTGCAGATCTAAAAGCACAAGTGACACTGAAAGTGTCCCTCAAGTCTGCAATCTTCCAAATTGCAGTTCTGCTGTGGTTCTGCATGGTTTTAGGAAGAACAAGAGTGCTGAAAAAAGCACAAATTGGAGCATCTGCTTTCATATTCGTTACAAGTAAGATTGCAGTTCATCCTGCAGAGATAGTGCTAAGCAAAGTAGTTTACGTAATCAATCAACAGCACAGTTATCCAAAACGGGTATCTTGAATTTTATTAATTTTCCCTGTTATAGGCCTCACCTAAAGACAGTTTTTCTTACATGAACATTAGAGTTCTCCATACTTACCATTGTACACAAAAGTGAGCTCTGCTGTTCCAAATCACCATACACAAAAGATAATTTGCAGCTTGGAGATGTCCAGATTTATCTGCTATATTTTCCATAGGAACTGCTTTTTGCTGCACAGAAATATTTGCTTTCTTTTGCAATGCTGTTCAAAATTTAGGCGGGGGAAATTAGCACTAATCATTACAAAACATGTAAACACGTTTTCTAAAGCAGGTTCTTCTCTTCAAATCAGTGCTGATGTTCAAGGGGCTGGGGGGGGAAGGATTTTGTTGGGGTTGAGTTTTTTTAAATTTTGCATAAATTAAAGGTCATAAAACCTGGCTGCTCTCTGCTTCACACCTGACATTTGTGTGCAAGGAACAGCAAACTCTACCATGCGCTTCTGAGTCATTTTGTATAAGTGGCAGAGACGTGGACACAATGTGGTGGGCAGCAGAGAACTGGGCAGAATACATTCATCCTACACCTCTTGGTTATCACAGCACACCTTTTCCTAAAGCAAGCTAGCATTACACACAATCTTTCACCTGATATTATGACAAATGTGTGTAGAGAAAGATTAAATTTCATCTATGTATACCTGCACTATCGATCCATTTGATAGCTGCCTACTCCCTATTCTGCCACAATTCTGCCTGTTCCAGGATTTGCTGCTACATCTATAGCTACAAATGGATGCAATTCAGAACATTTTCATGTTTTTTTTTTTTTTTTTCAAACTCAGAAATGCCTGTGCAAACAGAGGGGTTGGGCAGGACCTGAGGAACTTCAGCCTTCCCACAGTCCTGCTCACATCAGAATTGCAGTTTCTTCTGGCTTCTCAACCCCATGGATTAGAGACAGCCAGCTAGCTCATTGGATCGTAGCTACAGATTACCTGAGCAGGAGATAAACCATGCAACCATGCAGCAGCTGGAATATACATGCTTGCCTGTGTCTACAAACCCACCAGTAGCTTTACAGATAGAGGAAGCCTTACCTCAGCCCATGCTCCTGCATCTGACATCCGTGGCTACTCAACACCTCTTTACCATCATTTCAGGCTAGAGATATTGCTCCTCTATCAACCATAACTGAACACATTGAATAGGGAGAGACTCTCCCCTTCAAAATTAATCAACATAAGACATTACAATTCAGAAGACCTGAGCTGCAGGAAAAACATTGCTTCAAAATGTAATCTTTCTGCATTCAGCAGAGAGGTATCATCTTCACAGACATGGCTTACCACATAGTGCGTGCCTGTTTTATATCAATAATATACCACTTGGTAGCAAACATGTCTGAGAAATCGAAATCTCTCCTAGAGACAATTATTTGTTTTGGTTTGGAGCAAAAGATAGTTCTGATTCTGACTGTGTCCCATATTTGAAAGAAGTTTCCTTTGCTTTTTTAAGAAGTCGATTAGAAAAAGTAATACACTTTTAAAAGCTTTGGGTTATATTTGCTACTAGTAAGAGAAGATTCTCAGCATGATGTGTAGCACCTGCATTGTGTTCTGCAACAGGTCAGTCACTCTGCATTTTACTCACCCTCCCAGTTACACTGGGCTGCTGGGGATGCCTAGAAAACTTTGGGCATGTCCCCGCTGTGGCCATTAACCACACAGATGGAAGCATGTAGTCCAGATAAGTCCTTCAGCTCCTCCAGATGGTGATTCACTCCATGCTGATAAAGGTGGTTGCAATACAGAATTTTATTGTATCCCAGGCTTGTGGCAGAGGGAGCCTTTGGGTTATCTAAAATTAAATGGATGAATCCCATCTGTAGAGACAGACTGATACATGCCAGGAAGCTTCTCTCCAGCTTCCATGAGACAAGCTCCATTAGAAGCAATATATACAGAGGCTGCCATGCAAATAAATTACAGTGAGACAGCACTGAGATGGTAGCTGTAGGCTGAGGGAATGGGTGTATTATTTTTCTCGCATCATCAACTTTCTGTCTCCCTGGTCATGGCAAGAAGCCAGGGATGATACCCTGAACTCCTGCTATTTGAAGTGGGGGCGTGTTATTTTTTTAAAATCTCATTCCAAATGTGCCTGATGAACCTTTCTGAAAATGTTGTTCTTAAGATAGAACCCATTCTTCCTAATGCAGCCATCAGCACTAAGGAAACAGTATCTACTGGCCTCTTTAATGCATTACTTTGCAGCATTTATGTTACCTCTTGTACTTAAAAGCTGAACTAGACTCTCCTGTGTTGATCCCAAAGGACACTGGAACAGTAATTTGAAAATGTTCAAATACCTAACTACCACATATGTATATGACAGAAGGCTGTCCAACAGAGCAAGGCAGCAAGCATGGGAGAGCTGAGGAACAGAAAAAATGAAAAATGATTACAAAAATGTTTGATTTTCGCACTCTTCAACTCAGCTGCTATGCATCTGTATGGGATTCAGGTGATGGGATTCCCATCACCCAGACTGGTAGCACTCAGCTGTTCAAAGCATGCTTGCTTAAGAATCAAGGGATGCATGGACCTTACACTCAAGTCTCCCGAAGGCTGACACTCAGCTGAAGGGGATTGAAAGAAAAAATCCAGCTAGACAGGTGCTACCAGCAGGGTGGTACTCTGTGGACCAACTGTCACAGATTTTGTGGTGGATTTCTTTCTCATCATCAGACAGAAGACAAAGTCCTACACTTACTTGATCTGCAATGATTTTGTGTGACTGTTTTTCTCTGTAACATGTTCTGCCTGTTTTAAAAGAAGAACAGGCAAAACTACTTAATCTAAACTACCCTTATAGAAGTAACACTTTAAGACAAGATGGCTCTCACTAAACTGTAGACTTATAGGATGATTAAGAAGGATAAAAGCCTTATTAAACAGCTGTGAAAGTTTGGCCTGTGCTCGCATGGATTTCAGGTTGCCCAACAATTTAACAAAAATTTTTAGTTACCACATGTATTGTTCCCCCGAAACACGCTTGGGCTCCTCTGAGTAGCTCTCTAGGTCATGGAGCATGCTCCACAGGCGTGAAACAAAATGGAGGACCATCAAGACATCCTACTGGTAATAAATTGTATTGATAAGAGTAATACTTGCAGCAGTCTGGTCCAGGCTTCCCCAGGGGGACACAGGGGGCAATGCAAGACAGTCCTGTGATGCTGGGGACAGAGGACACTGTGTTCATAATAAGGGCTGAGCAATACATGGGATGTCCAAGTACAGAAAGTCTGCAAACACACAGACAAAACTCTCTCCATAAACTGCACAGACATTTTGTTTGTCCAGTATCGTGTCAATAAAATTAATCCGGTAGGCCTCAAGAGTCCAGACATATAACAGACGAGTATTAGCAAGTGAATGTGGCTTAGCATGAAATGAGCTTTGGGAGATCCCAAAGGGTAACCTATAATGCCATGCAGGGGAGAGGAATGACCCTGCTATGATAAACCACAAACACCCTGTAATTACCCAGCCACACCACAGTGCAGTCATCACCCTGTAGTTAAGTGGTCAGCAGTTATCATGTCATTGAAAGGAAGCTGCAGAATGTTTGTGGAATTTAAAATGCTGCTAAATATTGGTTTAGAGTTCAGATGAGTAAGAAGTGGAGGAGGAAACAGAAAAGTAAGTAAAAAGAAGAATTCTTCCACTTATCATTTTCATAGCACAATCAACAAGCACGAAACTACTGTCGAAGAAGTTAATTGAAGTTAAACAGAGAAGCTGAATTTCAGATCTTCAGAATCTTCAGATCTTCAGAAGTTCTGAAGATCCCAGAAGAGCCTGAAGTGGTACATTTATCCCTCTGCTCACAGGGACGCTTCACCTTGGTGTGAGGAGCAAGCATCCAAACCCCAACTGTCAGAATTGTAACTTTTACATGTCAGGGTGATGACCAGCACTCCTCTGGCTGCAGCCTGGTGACTTCAGAGTGTATGGGACCATCCCTCAGGAAAATAAGAAGCCTCTCATCCAATAAA